AGAGGAGTACAAATTCTGTCGATGTGATATTCGGAAGGTACAAATTTTTCTGATCACGATTCACTATTTAGCTGCGCACTGCGAGAATTGGGCGGTGGAACCGTCACGCTCGCACCGCCCAACTTCGTTGTGTATCTCACTGGTAATTGTGTCAACGAACGTATGTCCAAAAAAAAATCGAGTCGATTGAATTTCGGTCTATTTTCAGAATATATAGTTTTCGTGTCAAAATACCTTTAAATAAAAAAGTTGATTTTTTTTGGACATACGTTCATTGACACGATTACCAGTGAACTGTAGCACTCGTTTGTAAGTACAAAATCTGAAACTATGTCAGGGAGAGAGTACAAATTAAGTACAAATTTTTGGCGTACCGTACAATTTCCTACGACCATTGGGCGGTGGGTGTAATGCGGGTTGCCTAGCCAGAGGTCTGCAGGCGATAGGCCGAATTCGAACCCAGTTTTTAGGTTGTTCGAGAGGAGTACAAATTCTGTCGATTAGTCCAGTCATATTGTGTTTTGACCCGGACCAAATTCCGAACAGTACCAAATTTTGGGGATCGTTTTATGGACCCCTAACGAAAGCCTAGCCAAAAGTCCCAAAGAATCCCATCGTGCAGATCGGCTCAAATCGTGTTCAAAGTTCAAAATTTTGAACATTTGCGACTTTTTGGTTTTTCTGCTACCACAGCTGAACCGTTTGACCTACATACCTGGGTGGGTGCTCAAAATGTTCGCCAAGGAACAGGCTACAAGATGCAATAATAACATTGACACTTTTGAACATTTGAACATGTTCAAATATGCGTTAAAGTCATTTTTTCCACAGTTCGAAATTCTTTCATGGACGTTGAGATTTATTTGCGGCCAAACCAGTTGGAAATCGCATAAAACACTATTACGTCACGTTGAAGGCACAAATCTGACAAACAAAATGAGCTTTGAACGGAGTTTCTGCGACCAAAATTGACGGAGCTATGGCCCGGTGACTGCGGCGCGGGCGGGCTGCGCTGCCGCCCCGGGGCCGGGAGAGACGGCTGGAGCCGGCTGCTACGCGCTGCAAGGTCTTTACCTCGCCCTCACGCCTAAACGGTGCGACTTACAAAAATGTACGGTAGCTCAAAATTGTCGCAAGACAATGAGCTTTAAGTTCAAAGCCCAAAATTGAACAATTTGAACAGTTGGACATGTCTAAAATTGTTAAAAACAAAAAAAAATGGGAAATGAAACGCGATTTTTGCCTGAGTTTTCTCGGAGTGGAAATGTTTTAATGTTATTATTACTATATTATTATATTGCGCGTTTTTTGGAGTACATGGTCGGCTTATAACCCGAGACTTGAGACGCTGGCCGCGTTTGTGCGCGCTGCCCTCCTGCCGTCATCGCTCTTGAGCTGAGTTCGGTTATTGTTCGGGCCACGCTCACCGCCCTGCAACAATAGTCTGAAAGGCCGTCCGTATTATTTTTCCTACTGGGCTGTATACATATCCTTATTGCGATTCGCGTACTGTCTATTGTTAGATTTGACTGTACCGAACGTGCGAATAAGGGAGCCGAAGAAACTGGGAGCTGGTCGGCCAGGCAACGGCGCGTATTTTGTTTTGGCA